CGATTTGATTCATCCGCTTGTAGTTAAACCACTCTGGTTATCGGCGTACCGCGATACTATGTAGAGGGCACGTGAACAGTCGGTTTTATGGACAAACATACAATGCATCAGCAGTATTTGGTGCTCCGAACGTGTAGAACCTTTGTGTTTACGTGAGTGACGACACAAACGCGGCGTTTGTTGCTATGACGCGCGTGTGTTCGGAACGCGCGGCTGATGCGCAGTGAGCGCGCAAACACCACTGAAAATGATCGGTGTTTTTCAGTGGGTATCTACCATCAGTAATGACCATTAAAAACAGTTGAATTCAATCATTGCGACGATGCGTGCATTAAACAGCGCCCACATAGAGACAGTTTTGACCAATGTGTATGATTTACATCCTTAATTTCAAGAATTGGGACTGAAAATCGGACTGCCTTTAAAGGGGAACCGCTCAATCCCTTGGATTGCACCAAAGAATCATGGGACACTATTGTTTATGTTGTTTACAATGTTAATCTATCTTTTGTTATCCATTGTTATTTTAATCCAGAAAGTAAATTTGTTGTAAAATTAATCTTAACTGGAAGGTGCCCCTTTAAGTTCTCATGGTTCAATGAACTTGATACGCGTCACGAATCACATTGCATGACGGGTATTTGCCCTTTCGAAGTAGCCGGTTCATGCATTTCACTCGCTGCAACACAAAATTCGTCATTGTTTTCAGTTAGACTGTTGGTCGCTCTCAACATAACAATATTGTTAATTGATGATCTCGATTTATGGCTAAACGAAGACGTTCAAACGATAACAAACTCCTCGTTTATGAAAAGCGAATCGCACTGTTCAGTGATGAAGCCTAACCACGCACGGCATTACGATGTTATTGCATTGTAAATTGTAAACTGGTAAATTAAAGTTATATAACATTTTGCTATTATTAAATAATTTATTAAAATACATAAGTTTGTCCAACTCCCTGTGGTGTAAGTGTAATGTCTACAATTGTAATCAATTACAATATTTGGCGGAGGAATGCCATGACGACAAACACCGTAAAACTATTCGAACTTGTTTAATAGCAGACGTAATAATTGTCATGTTTGGCGTAGATGCAGTCGAATCATCCTCATACGCTTTGACTGCGCCCGTAATAAGTCAGGTTTCGCGAGCGCGCCAACCAATTAGATGCTTGGAGAATGATTCTAGATCTTATTTTGGTTGTTGTTGTAACCTTTAACCTCCTTCAGTAGGTTGTTATGAGTTAATAAATTGTTGTGATTCTAGATCTTATCAGAAGTTGAAGGGAGGTAGTAGTCGAGCCACGCATGCGCGAGATATGTGAGTATCATATAAACAAAGATGGCGGCTTTGGCTGTTGCGCAGATCAACGAGTACAAACTGAGACGTCACTATAAAGCTTTAATTAAATATTTTTTAGGTGATTGGAAGGTATCGAAAGAGTCACCGGCTGTAATTAGTGCAAGTCGCGCCCAGGTCAAACCTCATACTTGTGATTTTCATTAGAAGAGCGCATTGGATTATGGGAAAATCAGTGTTTATCAACACAAATGTCGCACATGCGCGGCGCGACGATTACCTCCCTTTTAACCTTCAACTCAAGGGGTAATACATCACCATCCAAATTAACTCCTCGCGTGCGGAATGATCATCAGACTAGTTGATACGCCAACGAAAATGTCACCACAAAGGTGTCTGAAATCTACTTTAACTTTCTTTTGTCACCAGTAGCTTTGAAATGTCATAAAGCGGGAAATATAAAGGCAAGTGTCGTCTGCATTCTTAAATTATTCTCAGGCTTCGAAGACCTTGCGAGTCTTATCTGATAATTGGTGCCAATTTTTACTGATATATACTATATATATATATATATATATTCGAGTACCATGAATCTCGATTTATGCTGTACAGTCGGTCCATCGTCAGTTACGCTGCTAAAAAAATGATGGTCAAGTTCCGAGCCAAGACGCCCTCACCGATACAGCTGAGACTCGTTTACAACCAACCACTGAGACCGTTTCATTCAACTGTCTGTTCGTCTCTG